ACGAAAGATTTAAAGATTAAGTTCGCAAATTCAATAAAATGCTCTTTGCAATTCGGACTTCGATATACGCACTTACTAAAGTTACCTTTTTCTTTTTGAACTACGGACGAAAAGCTAAGCTACTTTTAGAATCACGATAGCTAATCTAAAAGTTATTACTATAGCAAAAGGTTCGATCTCGCGCTAACTTGCTTATTATAAAGTTTAAATAATTAAAACTCTAAGACGAAAATATCGACGAAATCATTTTGAAAAAGAAACGCTATCGATTTACTATTAAAGCCACTTAAGAACGAGTTAAAGTCTTGAAGTCGGAACTTATTAAAGAGAAAGACCTAGTACTACTCTACGACGTTAAACGCAGCATCGATATGTCCGCGGATATCAAATTAAATTACAAATAATTAAGACTTTATATCGTCTTTAAAGCTTATAATAAAAAATACTATAAACTTTAAAAAACCGATAAAACTAAGCTTAAAAGCACTTTTGCGGCTAACCGCTTTAAACGATTTTACTGCCGCGATCAAACTTTTTTTCCTTTTAATAAAGACGACGAAGAAAAAGAAAAAAAGGATTCGGATTCTTTAGATAACTTAGACTTTAACGAATACGAGCTTTCCGACGACGGCAAAAGTGAACTACTTAACTTAAAAGTGACCTTTAAACCTAAGTCTACCAACTTCCAAATCATTCTTCTAACACTTTCGAAGAAATAAAAACTAGCTTACAAAATTGTTTTTTAATTTGTTTTCTTTTACTTTGTTTTTTTTTCTTACTTTCGTATCTTCTTTTTGTTCTACACCTATTTTATAAAAGGACGTGCCTTTAATAATCACTCTTTTTGTTTTGATAAAAAAGGGTATTTCTTACGTTTGTTCTTTCATTTTTAGACCTGCCTTTTATTGTATTTTCTATTCTTTCTTTATTCCTTTCACTTTTTTAGCTATTCACTTGTCTTATACAGATTGTTCTTATTATTTAATTGTTTTTTTTTACTTGTTTAAGCTTACACGGCTATTTCTTATTTTCTATTTAAAACTGTTCTTTTGTTTTAAGCGTGCTCAACTACGTGTATTCGAAAGTGAACTGCTATTAGAAAGAGTAAGTCCTTTTTATAAATATACTTATATAAAAAAGCTCTTTCTTCTTTTTTCTCAACATTTTCTCTCTTTATATAATAACAACTATAATAATACTATTACTACTTTCTCTTTACAATTATACAATACTATATTAACATTAACGACCTTAATTATCACTTAATCGATCATTATTATTATTAGCTTTATTCCGTTATCTTATGTTTAACTCGTAAACCGTAGTTTACGAGTCAGATATGCTTCTTAAGTCAGCCGTCGCTAAAAGAAAAGCTCTTGTCCGAGATACACTTTTTAGCTTATTAATAAGCGAAGAGCAAGCTGCTTTAGCCCGACAATCGAGTTTCGAATTAAAGTTCGAAAAACGAGTTATTAAGACTTTCGATAAGTTCCTTTAGACTTACCGCTAAATAAGCAACTTTAATCAACTAGCTATACTTAAAGTAGCAACCTCCGACCTTAATAATAGATTAAGTAAAGAAAACGACTTGATCTTGCAATACGACTAGTTCTTGCGAGCCGAATGCGCAAGAAAGAATATAAACGCTAAAGACTTTCTTTCGGCTTACGACCAGTTTATTATTAAAATCACCGCTATTTACTTTTTACGTAATAAAAACGCCGAAAGACATAAACGAATTAAAAAAGCTTTCGACGGCGCTCGAAGCCAATTGCTATATAACGACCATTTTAAAGCTATATGCACCTTAATCCGCAGCGCTCGCTAACTAAGCGTCATTTTAAAAAACTGCACTTTTAACGCTTACGTTATCTAAGTCATTAATTATTATATTATTACTTACGTCGCTTTCTAAAAGACTATAGCTAATATAGCTCGAAGACGCAAGTTCATTAAGCTTAATACTATAGTAATCAACCTCACTTGCTAAACCGTAAAAGACAAAAACAACATTAAATAAAAAGATAAGATCGCTATTCTTAACGAAAGACTCTTAAAGAAGCTAAAACTAAAAGTCTTATTATATAGCTTATTGATTTTAACTCTCGATAATATTAAAAGCGAATACGACGAGCTTAAAGAACGTATAAAGTTTATCGACGAAAATCAAACTTGGAATTTCGTCTTGCAAAAAGAACCCGAATCCGAGACTTTACTTATAAATTATAATTCACGAATAAAAGATAACTTAGCAATTAAAGCAAGACTAAATCAACCTTTTGCTCTTAAGACCTTTTTATTTAAATCACTTATTGCGCGCCTTTCGCTATCATTAGCTTTGTCTTAAAGATCGACGTTATCTTTTGCTAATAAAGCTTCGAACGCTAAATTAATTACTTCGATCATGTCTATTTTACGTAAGTCTATCGACGCGAGCTCTTTTATAGCTTTTAAACTTAAAGTGCAACGCGACCTTTTCAAGAACTAACTGCTATTAGCACTACTTGTTAAAAAAAAAGATAGCTTCGAGTACAAACTAGCTAAAGCCGTATTAAACCGCTGCTTAAGACTCGTCGAGATTAATAACTTTATAAGTATAAACGTAGCTTTTATTAACTGTCGGTATATCCATATCGACCTTAGCTAGCTAATAGTAATAGTAGTAGTTGGGGAAGCTCACCCGTGAACCAAGGTTCACGGGCCACTTGGCATGCCTCGCTTAGCATACCAACAGTCAAAGGACCCCCTAACTTGACAAGTAAACCTATTAGTTAGCTAGTGCACGTGATTCTTTCTAATCATATAAAAAAAATCAGCTCTTTTGAGTTTTAAAGAGCAGACAGAATTCAAATACCTTATTAACCGAGTGTTTTGCAATTGCAAGTACTTTAACGACTTTACGAAGTTACGAATATATTCTTAATCGCTTAAAAGCAATCCAACACTAATCAGTAATTGAATTACTATTAAGTGATCAATCATAAAGAAGCTAAGACTCTATAGCGAAGATACCTTTTACTACGATACCTCTTTCTTTTTACAACGGAAGAGCGATTCCGTACTAAGTCGCTTTCTTATACCTCGATACCTTTCCTTTACAACGGAAAAGCGATTCCGTACTAAGTCGCTTCTTATACTACCGATTTTCCTTTATTCTTACGGAAAAGTAATTCCGAACCAAGTCACTTTTATACAACCTTTAAAGCTGTAAAGCCGCGCTTGCTACACATAACAAACCTAATTAACACGATCGATTTACGTACGAGCAAACAACAACTATAGCCGATCGAGCAACTAGACCTTTAAGTAAAAAGTCCAGCCGATAAAGAGCAGTAAAGTATTATACTCTTCGAGTCTTATTACTACTTACGAAACCTTTAGCTATTCAGCTAAAAGAAACACTATACTCAAGACTCTTAAGCCTTTCGGAAAGACTAAACGACGAGATATCAAGCATCTCATTTGACTTAAACGAGCTACTATACGCAAGGCTTAATAATAAGATTACAGCTCGAGTAATAATAAAAGACTTCTTAAATGCAAAGTGTAAAAGGCTAAAGGATTACAACTTATAGAGCTTATTCCGGCACGCTTTCTTACGCTAAGATTAAACGAGTTTTACGATAACGAGGGATAATACGAGACGAAGCCTTAAGTTTGCTACTTTTATTAGCTTTAAAAAACACTTGCTGTTTAAAAGCGTATAGTGCTCTTTAAAGCAAAAGGGCTACGCTAATAAGATGGTCAAGCTTTTGAACGACGAGCAGTAATACTAATAGACCTTTTAAGAAATAAAAGAGCAACAAGCAACACCTTTAAGCCTTGATTCAAAGTGGACCGCTGAAAACCTTACGGACGACAAAGATAATACGCTTTAACTACTCTTACGAAGTCTAAAAAGGAAAGAAAAAGAAGAAAAGGAAGAGATTCGGAAGTTACGCAAAGAATTTGCGAAAGAAAAGAAGAATATAAAGCAAAATATAAAAGTGATAACAAAGCAAATAGCGGAATTACGGACTTACGTTATACAATCTAACGAAAGGCTACGACAAAGCACTTTAGCGTACTCGACGCTTTTAATCTATTAATCGCTACGCAATACGCTAATCATTTAAGAAGAGCTAAAATCACTTTAACGGCCCTTAAACCTTTTTCTTAAGAGCTACACTTAGTTTTCTGAAAAGTCTAGATTTAGTAGCAATAACAATAAAAGCTTTAAGATCATTATCGGACCAGACAACACTCGAGGCTACGAGAGCTACACGCTAAAAGAGGACCCGCTAAAACCTAAGAGCATTCCGGACAAAATCAACTCTCATTAAAAACAGCGTGTAAATTTCCGTGCTTAACTTCAGCAACTCGAAAAAAGGATCTAGCACTTTCGAACGTACCGGCAAGCTACTTACATCTTTTAAAAGGCTACGTATTAACAAGAGAAAGACTAAAGGTATAAGAATCGTTAAGAGCAAGCTTAAAGATACGGATATTATTAAGCTAGAGCTTTAGCCGGTGACTCGAATGGCTTTAAAGATCTTAACGATAGCCGACGAAAAGGAAACGAAAGAGATTAGTAAAAAGATCGAAGCCACAAGTACGGAAGGAATAAGAACGGCTCTTTTAAGCTACTAAAAGGATTCGGCAACGGACCTTTAAAAGACTTCGGATCCGGAAATGAGCTTCTTAAAGACCTTAAAAGAGTAAGACTTACAATTAGCAATTATATCGGTAACTTTTTACCGATCCGACTATTAATTAAGCACGGCACGCTTGCGTACGGCACTCTAAGCGCTTTTAACGATAATAAAGACGATTTCCTTAAGCTAAGAGCAGCAGACTTTTACTTAAGAGCGAAGGAATTAGCTTTGTTCGCGCGAAGCTTTCTTAAAGAGCTGAAGTATTTAAGACTCGACGATAACTTTAAAACTTAATTAAAGATTTTTGCTGATTAAGCAAGTCGATACGGTTTGACCTTCGACGACTACTTAACGGCGTTCTTAATTATGCTTACGAAAAAGGCTATCACTTTCTATTACAATCATATAATTAAAGCTAAGCTTCTTACGTTTAAAGCGAACGCTATTATAATAAAAGACCACTTCGAAACTGACTACCGGCGGCAAGTAAAATACGACCGTTAAAAAGAAATTTCGTTAGATTTAATCAAGAAGGAGAATCTAAGGACATCGCTTAACGAGTGCTTTAAGAAGCTCGCTAAAGAGCTTAAAAGACTTTAAGGTTTACTACGACCAAGCTTAAAAGATGATAAGAGTCTTGTTGACAAGCTGTATTCAGCTTATAAAAACGTGCTAAAAACTACGATTACACGAATGAACTCTGCTTTTACTTTTACCGCCGCAGTTGCCGACATTCGCAAAGCTATTGCGTTTGCAACTAAGACCTTTCGACCTTACGCTAAAGCAAGTAGAGCTTACGCGAGCTCTAGCGAGCTACACGATCACACTTGCTCTTACAACGCCTTAAAGGCTGACTCCGATTTGGACGAAGAATACGAATGCTTTATTCAAGACCGCTAATACTTCGGAAGTAAGAAAGCTGCCAAGGCTATTAAAGGTAAGAAAAGGTGTTTTGTTTGCAAAAAGCCAAGTTGCTAAAGCACTAACCACACCTCCGACGAAAGGAAAGCATCCGTCGTCAAGTTCTAAGCCTTTAAGGACGTAAAAAGAGTGACGAGAAGCAAATTCTCTTAATACGTAGCATCGATTAAAAGCTTATTACTTGTATCTACGAAAGAATTCGATTAGTTTATCGCAAGCTTATTAAACGAGCTACTCGAATCGAGCAGCTACGCTAATATATCAAAAGGTTTTGTAACTACTTACGGCACTTTTAACGCTAACGAAGTATACAAGCAACTGAAGATTTAAACGGTATTCTATGCTTTTACTAGCTAAATCGAAACTTAAAACGTGCCCGCGAGTAAAACAAAGACTTATATAGCTTTTAAATACTTTGAAAACGTGTTTATAAGCTTTATAATTGACAACGGAGCAGCTAATTTCTTTACCGCTAGCTTACTTTAATTACGAGCACTTTAAAAAAGATACTCCGAAGTCTAATTAAATACATTTCGAGCAAAAGAAAAGTCCGTTAAGTACGGGATCGGCTCTGCTACTTTTATTAAAGCAGTTACCTTAGATACCTTTTTAAGTCAAGTAGAGTTTTACGTTGTAAAGAGCGACGTACCTTTCTTATTCTCGTTAGCTAATATAAACAAGCATAAAGTAATCTTAGATAACTTGCGGAACGTATTAATTTAAAAGAAAAAAGAGATATTAATAGTAAAGATGTTTAAGCACGTGTAGATGCTATTAAGTAAAAAGTACGCTGCTACTTATTATAGCACCGAAAGCGAGACCGTCTACTGCTACTTCACGGAAGAGCAATTAAAGACCATCTATAAGCGTTTTAGCTACTCTTTAGCAGGTCGATTTGCTATTGTTCTTAAAAAGGCCGGATACGAATTCAAACGGGATTTGCTTTACAATATTTAAAAGTTTTACTATTATTGCTAAGTATTCGGACGCTTTCCGAAGAGGTTTAGTATCAGACTTAAAGATAATACTGACTTTAATAATACGATATACGTCGATGTGATGCACTTTAATAGCAAGAACGTATTGCACGTCGTCTACGACTTTATTAATTTTCAAGCCGCTACCTTCTTTAAAAGCATATCCGCACAGCATTTACTTAAAAGATTTAATCGATATTAAGTTAATACTTACGTCGAACCTTTTATAAACGTAATACACGATCTCAAAACCAACTTTAATTCAACAACGTTCCGAAGCTACTTCAAAAGTATTAGCAGCACTCTAAAGCAAATGCTTATAAAGGCCTATCACAGCGTCGGGCTAGTAGAACGCTACCACGTCCTTGTGCGACGCGCCTTTAAAATCGTTATAAAAGAGCTTCTAAAAGCTTTAAAAGAAGACCGGCTTCAAATAGCTATTAAAGCTATCAACGATATAACTAAACTTAATAGCTTAATTCTTATACTCTTCGTTTTTAAGACCTTACTAAAGCTAACGGAACAAGATCGACTTGCCGCGTCTACTTAAAAGCGTGCTGCTGCTATTAATAAGGCTATAAGGGAAGTACGAAAATGCTACGCTGCGAAGCAAATTAAGGACGCGCTTAAAAGGAAGAATAGCTTAATTACAAAGCATACCTTAGACCTCTTTATTAGCTTACGGGTGCTCGTGTAGCGGGAAAACCAAAGGTAAAAGGGCCCTTTTCAGCTGCTTAGCAAGCAAAGGCATACGTGCACAATGGCATGTCCGAGGCCTACGGAATTCAAGTCAACCTTAATAAAACCTTATTATTCTAAAGTTGAAAAGCTGCTAAAGGAGTTGCAAGTACTTAAGGTAAAGGTAAAAGAAAATCAAAATGAAAGCGACGAAGGCGAAAAAGAGCTAGAACTACGAAATTCGCTTAAACCTTAACATTCGCTTAATTTACCGAGGTCGCTTAATCTAAGAAGCTCGTTAAGATCAGCAAACGACCTTTTTCAACTTGTTAATTCTTAAAGATCAATAATACTAATAGTCTAAATACTTTATTAGAAGTACGATCTTAGTATCCCGACCGTGCTCGACGAAGAAGAAAGCGATTTTTACGTTCTATTCACTAAAGACTCCGAAGTGCTAGTTACCGATAAGGAACGCCGAGACTATGAGCTTTTAACTAAGCTACGAGCCGAAAGGATTATTAAGAGCCTTAAAGCACTATTTTAAGAGTCTAAAGCAAAGGAATTAGCTAGATTGATAGCTTAAAGCATCCTTTAAGTGATCCCGAGCATCGACTTACGAGCTAAAAGCGCTAAGATCTTCGGATCTAGGTTTGTTAACGAGATCAAAAGCAAAAGAACACTTACGTTATACGAGAAGTCTCGTATAATAGTTTAAGCCTTTTAAGATAAAAGCAAAACGAGGATACTCATCGAGTCACTTACGGTGCAACGAGCGGGCTAGAGACTTTATTATGCTTTAGCTCTTTCTTTAATAAAGGATTACGAGTATCAAGTTTATAATAAAGATATCACTTAAGCTTACATTCAATCAAGCACGAAGCTTATACGAATAATCGTCGTGCGACTACTTAAAAAGATCACTTATCGATTCTTTTCTAGCACTTTATTCCTTATGACTAGCTTTTTATACAGGATCCTTAAAGCAAAGACGCATTAGTATAAGCGTTTTTCCGGGCACTTTATAAACAACTTCGGTATAAAGCAATCGAGCTTTGACTTTTGCTTTTTTATATTAATTAATAAAGATCAGCTAAGAATAGCTGCTTTATAAACGGATGATGTTCTTATAGTTGTTAATCTAGCTATAAAAGCAAAAGAAGAAAAAGAGCTAGTCAAATCCAAGCTAAAGAGCAAGGAAATAAAGATCTTTATATACGCCGAACCGATGATTTTTAATAAGTGCAAGCTATCTTTAAATAAAAACGGGTTCGGAGTGTTAGTTAGTCAGAAAAGGCAAGGTGAGAGGCTTGCGGTAATCAAGCTCGATTCAGCTATACGGGCTAAAAAGTACTTAGAACAACGTGCTCGAAGAGCGTATTTAATTACTATTTGCTACTTAAAGGCATCTTGTGCTCTATCGATGGCTGCTTAGCATTAAGAACCGAAGGACGAAGACTACAAAGCTTTTAATAAAGTGATCTAATAGTTAATCGATTACTTAACTCGAAAGATCTATTACGTACTCTTAGACTTAAAGACGGCGAAGCTCTTTGTGTTCGTAAACGGAGCGTTTGCTAATAACGCTGACCTTAGCTTTTAAATCGATTTCGTAGCTATCTTTAGCAATAAAGCTCACGTAAGTAAGAACGAGTTTATTCTAACGAGTAATATCTTTTATTAAGTGTTATAAAAGTGCAAGAGAGTGATAAGAGCAGTATTAGCTTTTAAGCTATACGCTATGTCTTTAAGTATCGATATAGCTATTGCTATGTCGACCACTTTTGCTTAAATCATAGCTTAGCTAAGAATACTTAATTTCTTCGTAGTTGTATGCACTAACTCTTATTCGCTTTACGAATGTATAGTAAAGCTAAGGACTATTAAAAAGAAGCGTTTAATAATCGATATTATAGCTATTCGAGAGTTATACGAGAAGCGAGAGCTTTTTAAGGTACGCTAGATCGGAGGAAAATCTAACCCTGCTGACGCTATGATTAAAGTCAAGGCTAATACCTCTTTGCAAGAGCTAGTTTTGACCAATACCTTAAAGGTGCAAGTGGACGGGTAAGTGGAAAGGCCGCTATAAGAAAAGGAAAGATAAGATTGTTTTTCTTTTGTTTGATTACCTTCCTTCTTTTTTCGGTCGATATAGTAGTTGGCAAAGCACTGTTTGCTAAAGAAAGAGTTGCCGGTGTCGGTATATCTATATCGACCTTAGCTAGCTAGTAGTAGTAGTAGTAGTTAAAGAAGCTCACCCGTGAACCAAGGTTCACGGGCCATTTAGCATGCCTCGCTTAGCATACCAACAGTCAAAGGACCCCTTAACTTGACAAGTAAACCTATTAGTTAGCTAGTGCACGTGATTCCTTTTAATCATATAGAAAGAATCAGCTCCCTTGAGTTTTAAGGAGCAGACAGAATTCAGATACCTTATCAACCGAGTGTTTTGCAATTGCAAGTACTTTGACGACCTTACGAAGTTACGAATATATTCCCAATCGCTTGGAAGCAATCCAACATTAACTTTTACTAAGACTTTTATTAATCAGCTTTCGACCGCTTAAACTTAAACGAGAACATCGATAATACTTTTTAAGTTGCTGCGAAATCAATCAAGAAAGCTATCAGCTAGATCCGTAAGCTTTTAAAAGACGAATTTTTTAACAACGTAATCTTACGACTCTTCGACCGTCGTAATTAAGTGAAAGTAAATAAGAAAAGAAGTAAAGTAATAAACTACTTTTTGCTATTCGAGATCTTTAATTTAAGCTTTAATAACGACGATTGCGATTGCATAAAAGTCTTTTAAAAAGTAAAGAACGTATTAGAATTTAAAGATAGATTTAAAGAACTCTTTAACTTAAACGTTTAAACGAAGTTCCGCTTTAACCGTAGAGTCTTACCGTCCGCCACCGATTTATTAAAAAAAGTCTTTTGCGAAGTTTACACTTTCGAATACGCTAAATACCTTAAGCTAGCTACGAAAAGCTTTATAACAACGGTAATCCGTTTTAACTTGTGTCGATTCATCGAAGCCTTTTAAACTAACGCTTTTAATAACTTTATGCTTTACTCGAACAATTAATCGATATTCGCTATTAAGATTAAAAGCAATACTTTAATTAAAAGAATATTTAGCTTAAGCTTTTCTAAGTTCAAAGCCAAGCCGATATCCTTTAACAAGCTGAACTAAAGCACTAGCTTAATAAGCACCGTTTAAAAGAATAGCTTTTTTAACACCTTAAATGCGAGTAGCTATACGAAAGTTTAGCTTATGTTAAAAGCTTCTTTTTTAAACAACAAGCACGGTAACTAAACCTT